CAAGGGAAAGGTTGCACGGTAACAACCAGACATCATCGAAAATTCCCTGATCAATCACCTCAACATTTTCATCAGTAATAATAGCATACACTTTGGCCTGAACCTTTGTTTTAGCCAGTAGTATTGCTTCCTCAATTAAAGCTGAAGGATTCATGCCAGTGTGTAGGTCCCAAGTTTTCAAGTAATTAATTTGTTCCCCATTAGTGACAAAAGCAATCATGTGCTGCAACTATTCAATCTTCGTCTTTGCGATGATTAATATCCCTTCAGAAGGTGAACGTACTGTGACGTTCTTCTCTTGTTGGTCGTACATATCATGGAGTCCTTGGCCCGCGAGCTCTTGAGCAGTTCGTGGAGTGTATCCAGGACGTACTGCTTTGCAGGATCGTAAAAAATGTTTCGACTCAACGATGTCGAAAGATAGATTGCAGCCATAAAAAATGTCCCCAGAGAATTGTCAATACGAGCTTTTTCACTCTCAGAGACGTAATCAACAAAGGAAGTCATATTGCGTGTACGTTTTTGAGATTCTGAAGTTTTTAATCTCTTTGATGGTGGCAAACTGGACCCTGATCACGTTCCTCCATCCTGGGGGAGTGATACCAAGGATACTCTTGCTGCGGTTGGAGAATGATTCGAGGATCCTTGCTCAGTATCTTCAGAAGAAATTGATTTATCCAGAGTCTGCGGACTTGAAGAGGAACTTAGATTGGATGAGTTTTACTGACTGGTGTTTCTGCATCCTTTCCTGAACAGGAAATTATTCAAATCTGAGAATCCTGTTTATTCCAGAAAATTCATCACTATTCAATTACACTTCTATTTAAGAGGACTTACCTGTGAGATCTCATTCTTTCTTCTGCACAATTTTTCAAGATGTTTCTACACACTTTACAGTACGCTACAATCTACAATTTTTCCTTCAACTGCCCAACGCTCATAATCACCCTTCTCCCAGAAATCGTGGAGTGGTCGACCACCTTTACTCCCTTTGGTCATCGCGAGTACTGAATAATTATCGATTTTAAGTAGACTGAGTAAATGATTAGCGACATTAAAGACTCATCAGCATCAATCGTGGCTAACAAAATAACCAACAAACACCAGTGACAGTGACGACTGATGTGGTGCCAAATTGTGCATCAGCTGTTCATGAAAAGCTACGCATGCGCATTGCATTGGCTTAATAACAGCATACAGCATCAATGCCAATTTAATTAAACTTGAGAAACTAGACATGGTCATAAAAACAAAGAAATAAAATTCCAAAAGTTTTCTCTGAGGAATTTTTTGAGGCCCTTTCGTCATTTTTGCTACTAAGGGCCGGTTTGTATTTTACCCAATGTGACCAATCCTTGGGGCGTAAAGTACCTAGTATTTTACATGTATTATACGTCGCGTATTATACATAAGGTATTATACACGTCAAAATCTAGAGTGTAATATACATGGTATTTTACGTGTAAAATACTTGGTATTTTACTTCATGTATTTTACATGCCTAACCCTGCATTGAGAAGACTAGATCTGTGCGCACGCTCTCGCGCGCGCTGATCTATTCGTTTGTTGAAATGAAGAAATGGAATTCACTGAATTTCATTTTCTCATCAATACCTTATAAATATTGATAATGAATTAAAGAGAATTCGAGTAATGATTGAAGTGAATAGCAAAGTACAGTAAAAGAGTCTATAAAGAATTTTTCATTTTCAATTAATTATCTTCAATTTTTGAAAATAATCGGTCTCTATAAAAGGACAGAATTTATTAATTTCACCGATGATATATATACATGTGAAATATATATTATATATATATTCACTGAAATTTCCTGATTTCTATTAAATTTCAGGGAATAATTAAACTTACATTTGCAGTTCTCATTGATATTCCCATGAGATTCTGAATTTTCAATTATGAAATTCCTTGAAATTTTAGTGCAAGTAAAATGCGATAAGAATTCCCTGAAAGTGTATCGGAAATTTACAGCCAAAAATTTTTCAAATGTACAAAAAAAATCGAGTTATGATGAACTTACAAAAATTTATAACTATGAGATGATATCTGCATGAGACAAGAAATTTTCTCATTCCCGTAAAAACTAAAATATGGCTCTAACCGTGATTAGAGATTGTCTTAGATAGAAGTTCCTTCTTTTGATTTAAAAATTTATGTGATTCTTTAATGCCTAAAGGAGGTTAGTCGGTGTATGAGGTGAATTTGAGAGTGAATTTCTGTGGTTCCCGGTAGCTTAGTCGGTAAGAGTGCCCCCTCCCACCTCAAATTATACAAGATTACGCTACCCTCTTCAATAATGCAATTAACTTGAACTACTTTCCTGAAGCTTGGAAAAGGTCACAACTAATCCCAATACACAAAAAAGGAAAATCAAAGAATGATCCATCCAGTTACAGACCAATCAGCCTCACTCCAACCATCAGCAAAGTTTACGAAGCAATTGTCAACAACAGAATTATTAGGTTCTGTAATAAAGAAAAAATAATCCCAGACCAGTTCGGATTCCGACGTAGACTGTCCACCACACACGCAATTAACAAATTCTTATCAGATATCAATAGTCATTTATTGAACAATAAGCTAATCGGGGCATGTCTCATCGATTTAGAGAAAGCCTTCGATTCTGTTTGGCTGGATGGACTCATATTCATATTAATGAAGAAGAAATTCCCAAGACACCTCATCAAATTAATATGGGACATGATCAAAGATAGGTCTTTCCAAGTGGGGGATGGAAAGAACACTTCTTCTCTCATCTTCAACATCCGAGAAGGTCTCCAACAAGGGACAGTAAATTCTCCATGCTTGTTCTCCATTTACACCGCTGATGTCCTCAATGCATTCGAGATGAATAAAGATGGTAAATCGGCCTCAATCGCATATGCCGACGACCTGATTGCTTATATTGTTGGGAGTGATGTCAAGTCAATTCAAGATGAATTAGAGATACTGGTGAATAAAATAAACAACTTTTATGCTACCTGGAATCTCCGTATGAGTCTTCAAAAATGTGAAACAATCCTCATCCGAAAACCACACAACTTCCTCAGTAAAACTAATAAAAGAAACAAGGACACATTTTCCATAAAAACCTTCCATCCAGACACAAGAGAGGAAGTCATCATTCCCAACAAAAAAGTTGTCAAATATCTCGGCCTCCATATTGACCACTTCGTAAGATGTTCTCAGCATACCAACATACAGATCGACAAAGCAAAACGTCGTGTTAAATCCTTGGGAAAACTCTTCCATAACCGAGATATCACCAAGAGAGACAGAGTAATTTGCTACCTACTCCTGATCCGGCCTCTACTGACCTACGCTGCCCCAATATGGTGGAATGTGAGTGCTAACCAAATGGAGAAAATGAGAAGCCTGGAGAGATCCCGTCTAAGAGCCTCCCTCGGTCTCTATAGATCAGCCAGCTCCCAGTACATGAGAAGAGTCAGCAACAAGGCCCTGCATGATGCTGCCGACGTGCCCCGAGTGGACAATTTCATCCTTCGCCTCACAAGAGATTACTATGCTGGTTTGAAATCAATAGATAATTAGATAGTGCAGGACTTATGCATAGTTGACCCAGTAATGATGAACCTAGCTGCCATCAGTGGTTACACTCAGCCACAGTCCTTCATGCACTTTGACAACCTGGGAATAATCCAAGGTGACAAAAACATCCCAATCATCTACCATTGGGGCAGACATGCGGCAAACAAAAAACTACCGACGGTCTGGGCACCTAACCCTGATACAGTGTACTCAACAGCCATCCCTCAAAGGGACTTCGAAGATAATCACAGACTACATGAAAAATACTGGTGGCTAAGTGAGAGGTCAACACACATCCCCGAGTTAACCAGGCGCCTTGCGAATCTTCCCAACGATCAAGCTCGTACTAAACATAGCACTAGATGAACTTGCCGTTCATCATCAGCATGGACCCTACTCCACGTTACCCACTTTGTATATATTGTATATAGTTATTATTTAGTTTTATTTAGTTTTAAGTTTCCATTTTACGGTTTTAGTGGTTTTTTTCATTGCCAAAAGAGGCCCATTGTCCACTATTAATATCAGCCAGAGCAAAGACTGATCTGGCTATTAAATTGTCTCCTTTCTAAAACAAGAGCATTCCATTCCGTATAAATAATTTTGAAATATATAAGAAGTTACGGGTGGCAATTATTGCCGTGCATACTTCACTATTACTCTACTTTTTCTACTTTATTTTAAGGTTCTTTCTTCAGAAGTTGTTTATGCCTAAAAAATGTATTACTGTGTTCAATGAATAAATAAACTTTATAAAAAAAAAAAAAAACAAGCGCGCTATCCACTGGGCTACCTGCGACTTCTTAGGATGATACATGTTTT